CGATGCCTTTAATCCTGTTGTCCTGAAAGACGCCATTCCCCCCCCCCCCCCCCGTCCGGCCCATGATGGAGTTTCCCGATCACAGCAAAAACTTACTCCAAAAACTCTGGGAACAGCAGCACGAAGGTTTCCTTTGCGACTGCACCGTCATCGTGGGCAGCACCCAGTTCCTGGCCCACCGGGCCGTCCTGGCCTCCTGCAGTGCCTTTTTCCAGATGTTCTACAAGGAGCGGCTGGATAAGCGAGACCTGGTCTCCATTAACAGCGAGATCGTCACCGCCCCGGCCTTCGGGCTCCTGCTGGAATTCATGTACAAAGGCAGCCTCTCCTTCGGCGACATGCCGGTGGAGGACATCTTAGCCGCGGCCAGTTATTTGCACATGAACGACATCGTCAAGGTGTGTAAGAAGAAGCTGCAAGCCCGGGCTTTGGCCGAAGCCGACAGCACGAAAAAGGAGGAGGAAAATCATTTGCAGCTCCCCGAAAGCCAGCCCATATCCTTGCCCCCGCCTCACTCCTGCGACCCCGAGAAAAACAAAAAAGGAGACTGGAACATCGGGCAGAAAACACCTCCTGAGGAATTATCGGCCTCCATTTTGGACGTTGCGGATACCACCCAACCGGGGATGGATGCTCCCTCCGCTTCTCGGCCTCGTCCGCCACCCATCGTGGACATTTCTCTCTCCAGCCCGAGTAGCTCCACCGAAACTCTGTTGTGTAGCTCATATCCTTCCGGGAACGGAGCCGAGGGGACGTCCGGTTTGGATCTTCCTCCAGAGAGGTACAGAGAACACCACATCGAACACAAGGAGCCCACGAATCGGTCCATCAGCGTCAAGGTGGAAGCGATTGTGATTTCTGATGAGGAAACGGACGGGGTGGAGCAGCTGGAGGCTCCTCCTGCTCCAGAATTGAGACTAGAAAGCATCTTTGCAAAATCTGTTGGGGAAGCGGGTTCCGGGGGAGGCTGCGGGCGACACCTGGATGCTTTTGAAGAGCCCAGTGGGATGGAGGAGGTCTCTTCGGAGGGCAGCTTCCTACCTCCAGAAAATGCCCCGTACCACTTGATCCACATGCCGGGAGGTCAGACTTTTTCCACCATGGCTACTCCTCCGTTGCACGAACAGATGTACTTGCAGGAGTATGATTCCCACTCCAATTTTAGCCTCTTTACGGAGGACGTCCCCACCTGCAAGACGTGCGGGAAAACCTTTTCCTGCTCCTACACCTTGCGGCGCCACGCGACCGTCCACACCCGGGAACGGCCGTACGAATGTCGCTACTGCATGCGGAGTTACACTCAATCCGGAGATCTTTACCGGCACATCCGGAAAGCTCACAACGAAGATCTGGCCGTTAAACGCTGCAAACACGACGTGGAAAATCCTTCCTAGGGGCTTTTCCCACGGCGTGGAACGTTTTCCCAAAACGAGGAGCCAAATCCTCCGGTCGTCTCCATTCCTGGCAGAAGAAGCCACACCACTGGTGTCTAATTTTTTTTTTCCTGTTCCTCCTTGGGCCGGATCGCTGTATCCAAAACTGTCCCGTCTGTACTGCTGCAAAAATTTCAGGGTTCGGTTTTCTCTTTAGTGGGGAAAAATTTTTTTTTCCGCCAACGCAGAGAGCCGACTCTGGCCATTCTCTTGTGTCCGATTCAAAAAGAAACCCACTTTAAGCCATTCCCCGAACGAGGATCGCTTGTGTGTTTGTGGGTTAAACTGCCGATACAGCGACTCTTCCGTGGTGTTAGCCCCCCGCTCCCCCCCAAGAGACCAGCCTTGTTAGTTTGGTGGGGGTTCTCCATGCTATTGGCAGTTCAGAATTTTATTTGCAGGAAAACGGGAAATGATTGGCGCCCTTGTTTGTCAAGGGGCACCAGGATCTATCATCAGTTGTGAATGGTACCAAGCAGGCAAGACTTAATTGACAGAAAGGTGCAGGATAATCTCCTAAAATGCCACAATGCTGCCTAGAGTGAGTTAACGGCTTCAGACACCTGGATGCCCCTATGCCAGGGATGAGGAACGGGTGTGAGGCCCCCACCGACCCACCCAAATGGGGGGAAGGCACCCTACAACTCTCCGTCCCCACCTCCGAGCAATGTCCTTTTCCTTCCTCAGCCGCCACTGCCATCCGCCCGGTTGCAATTCCCTAACCTGTTTGTAAATACCGTAGTTCCAGTGTAGCCTTATTGAACAAGACACCTGTGACATAGTAAAAAGAACAACAAAAATGATAAGAATCTCTGTGGTGCTTGGGATTTTATTTTCCACTTTTAAAGGTGCACCTCCTAACCCAATTGAAATGTTTGGCTTTAGTTGTTTAACTATATTGGCGGGGGGTGTCTCTGCAGTCTCTGAGCTTGGTGGTTTTCCTTGCAGACGTTTCATGACCCAACTAGGTAACATCATCAATGCTAGAAGGGATGGGAGTTTGCGAGGAGGAGGAGGAGGGAGGGAGGGAAGAAGGAAGGAAGGAAGGAAGGAAGGAAGGAAGAGGGAGGGAGGGAAGGAAGGAAGGAAGGAAGGAAGGAGGAAGGAAGGAAGGAAGGAAGGAAGGAAGGAAGGAAGGGAGGGAGGGAGGGAAGGACGATGATTGTGGGGTCCTTGGTGCTCTCTGAGCTTGGGGGTTTTCTTGCAGACGTTTCATGACCCAACTAGGTAACATCATCAATGCTAGAAGGGATGGGAGTTTGCGAGGAGGAGGAGGAGGGAGGGAGGGAAGAAGGAAGGAAGGAAGGAAGGAAGGAAGGAAGAGGGAGGGAGGGAAGGAAGGAAGGAAGGAAGGAAGGAGGAAGGAAGGAAGGAAGGAAGGAAGGAAGGAAGGAAGGGAGGGAGGGAGGGAAGGACGATGATTGTGGGGTCCTTGGTGCTCTCTGAGCTTGGGGGTTTTCTTGCAGACGTTTCATGACCCAACTAGGTAACATCATCAATGCTAGAAGGGATGGGAGTTTGCGAGGAGGAGGAGGAGGGAGGGAGGGAAGAAGGAAGGAAGGAAGGAAGGAAGGAAGGAAGAGGGAGGGAGGGAAGGAAGGAAGGAAGGAAGGAAGGAGGAAGGAAGGAAGGAAGGAAGGAAGGAAGGAAGGAAGGGAGGGAGGGAGGGAAGGACGATGATTGTGGGGTCCTTGGTGCTCTCTGAGCTTGGGGGTTTTCTTGCAGACGTTTCATGACCCAACTAGGTAACATCATCAATGCTAGAAGGGATGGGAGTTTGCGAGGAGGAGGAGGAGGGAGGGAGGGAAGAAGGAAGGAAGGAAGGAAGGAAGGAAGGAAGAGGGAGGGAGGGAAGGAAGGAAGGAAGGAAGGAAGGAGGAAGGAAGGAAGGAAGGAAGGAAGGAAGGAAGGAAGGGAGGGAGGGAGGGAAGGACGATGATTGTGGGGTCCTTGGTGCTCTCTGAGCTTGGGGGTTTTCTTGCAGACGTTTCATGACCCAACTAGGTAACATCATCAATGCTAGAAGGGATGGGAGTTTGCGAGGAGGAGGAGGAGGGAGGGAGGGAAGAAGGAAGGAAGGAAGGAAGGAAGGAAGGAAGAGGGAGGGAGGGAAGGAAGGAAGGAAGGAAGGAAGGAGGAAGGAAGGAAGGAAGGAAGGAAGGAAGGAAGGAAGGGAGGGAGGGAGGGAAGGACGATGATTGTGGGGTCCTTGGTGCTCTCTGAGCTTGGGGGTTTTCTTGCAGACGTTTCATGACCCAACTAGGTAACATCATCAATGCTAGAAGGGATGGGAGTTTGCGAGGAGGAGGAGGAGGGAGGGAGGGAAGAAGGAAGGAAGGAAGGAAGGAAGGAAGGAAGAGGGAGGGAGGGAAGGAAGGAAGGAAGGAAGGAAGGAGGAAGGAAGGAAGGAAGGAAGGAAGGAAGGAAGGAAGGGAGGGAGGGAGGGAAGGACGATGATTGTGGGGTCCTTGGTGCTCTCTGAGCTTGGGGGTTTTCTTGCAGACGTTTCATGACCCAACTAGGTAACATCATCAATGCTAGAAGGGATGGGAGTTTGCGAGGAGGAGGAGGAGGGAGGGAGGGAAGGAAGGAAGGGAAGGAGGACGATTGTGGGGTCCTTGGTGCTCTCTGAGCTTGGGGGTTTTCTTGCAGACATCTCATGACCCAACTAGGGATCATCATCAGTGTTAGAAGAAAGGGGGTCTCTGGAGTAGAGGAAAAGGAAGGAGGAGGAAGGGGACTGTGGGGTTCTTGGTACTCTTTGAGCTTGCTTGGTTTCTTGGAGACGTTTCTTGACCCAATTAGGTAACATCATCCATGTCAGAAGGGAGGCAGGTTTGCTGCAAATGCCCCTTCTAGCACTGATAATGTTACCTATTTGGGTCATGTAACATCCGTCTCATAAAGAGCAAACTCCACTCCACTGAGTTAAAAGGTATATATTTCAAACAAGTGGAATGTGTAACAACATTCATCCTACCAACGATTAACATTGTCCTACGCCCATGATGGCAAAGCTGTGGCACAGGTGGCACGCAGAGCCATTTGTGCTGGCACGCAAGCACGAGCGTGCAAGTGCGCGCACAATTTTTGGTACAGGAGCCCAAAAAGGTTAGCCGCCACTGTCCTACTCCATCATGGTACCCGAGGAAGATTTTTCTGACATCATTGGGAATCTGAAATCTTTTCCTTTTTTTTTTCTTCTTCCTTTCTTCTTCCTTCCTCCTTCCTCCTTCCTTCTTCCTTCTCCTTCTTCTCCTTCTCCTTCTCCTTCTTCTTCTACCACTTGTACTCCTGGTTTCTAATTTTCATTCAACGTTTTTGAAAGTCTAGCTGAAATCATTCAGCTGCTTAACAAGACTGAGTTCTAAAACCGAGATTTAGCATTGTTTAAGGAAGTTTCCCCCTTCCCAGTTTGAAGCTAAGAATTTGATTTGGAGCGAAGAGAAAAAAAAGTTTCCCTATTAGGACTGTTAACAGAGGAAACTTAAGAAAAACGATGTGTCCCCCACCTTTTTAACTCCAAATTTAGGAGCGAAATAAAACGGAAACCCCGCGCAAATTCCCGTTCGCTCGTCGAAAAATAAACCACAAAATACTCGAAATAAATTGCAACATTATTTTTTTTTTGCCCCTTTTCTGGGGGGCTTGCCAGCTGCAGTCAAGTTTACTTTGGTATTTTATACTTAAGCCATTTCTAACAATATTTTAAATTTGCAAATTTTTAAACGTTTTTCGACTTAAGTTCATGAATAGCAACGAACGTATTTCTTTCCTCCCAGCAAAAATTGTACTGATCTGTTCCACCCTGAAGTAGTTTGTGCGATTTCCTTTGGCGGTGCCGGAAGTTTAACCCTCCGGTTCACACCACCTTAGTGTCGAATTCCCCCTGCTGTTAAGCCGAACTGAATTACTACAAATCCCAGCAGCCTCGGCCAGTATGACCCAGAGATACTGGGAATTATCACCTAATGATGTTTCTCAAGGCTTGGCGACCTTGGATAGGTGGACTTTTAATTCCCAGAATTCCCCTGGCAGGAGGATTCTGGGAGTTGGTCCACCCATCTTCAAGTGCCTTAAAGTTGAGAAACACTAAAAAGCTGGAGAGATGCCATCTCTGTCTTATTTTGGGGGTGAGAAAAACCCAAGATTTGGGAATCGGATATTGGGAATAACAAGAGGGCTCAGCCTTCACCCCCAAATTGAAGCAGGGTATAGGAGAACCTGGAGCAGAAGACATTTAATCCAAAAAAACAAAACAAAATCTGGAAGTAGCCAGATTCTTAGCTTGGGATCCTTGGAAGACCACCGAACAGAAGACAATCGCCACCAGAGCACTTCCTACAGCTCAGGAACCTCAAAACCCATCTTCCGTAAAATCAGTTTTGCGTAACAGGGTGGAAAATTAGAAGGTCTCCAAAGTTTAGGGACGCATTCCGGCGACTGCAAAATTCAGGATTAAAATGGGTAGCCAGGAGGGAGAACGAACCTTCTCAAGAAGGTTGGAAGGCCCTCAACCGAACATCTCCTGGGAGGCGTATGTCATGTAAAGGAAACCGTCCTCGTCTTTGTACGTGGTGTAGACATCGCCCATGGTGGCGGACATATTCACGAGGCTGTGGTTGCCGTTCACCAGGAAGTAGAAGGCCTGCGTGGACATCAAGCCCATCCGATTGCTGGGGGAGGGAAAGAAGGACAGGCAAGGTTGAGATCTCAAGGTCTTGGACAGGACTTTGTGTGTGTGTGTGTGTGTGTGTGTGTGTGTGTGTGTGTGTGTTTCTGCCATTTCCAAAGTTTCTTGCAATTGTGCGGCTGCAAGGATGAGCCAGGCTGGGTTAAGGGACTAGAACTCATCATCTCCTGGTCATTGACCCAAAGTCACCCAATTGGCTTTTGTGCCTCAGGCAGGACTAGAACTCACTGTCTCCTGGTG